TGTGTAATGGAAAACACTAGGTGATATAAGAACGTTTAAGACATGCATAATTAAATTTAGGTAAATTACACTGATGCATAACCCCACCCCCTACCCTTATGGAAGCCCTCTTTCTTCCTCCTCCCCTTCCCTCTCTCCATCATTCTTCTCCAACCTTCTACCGTCCACAACAAACCCCTTTCTTGTTCCCCTCCCCACCCTTTGTCCATCATCCCCTTTCAAAATCATCTTGAGCCCACTCATTGGAAAGGGCCATATTGATCGGAAATGTCTAGATCTCCATTAAATTGTAGCGATTGTGGGTGTTTGATCATTATTGTTGACCCAACATGTTGGTGAGCAATGAAGCATGGACATAGACATGGGACACAACACGGACACGTAAATTTTCAAAAGATGAGGGACACGACACACTGGGGAGACGTCTAATAGATATAATTTTATTTATTTATTATTTAAAGAGGGATCAAAGGATCAAAGCATTAATCCAAGTGCTCATACACGAAGTCTTCAACATGTTCAAGTTCTTCTTCACCTTCTTTCTCTTCTCTCTCTTTGCCGACCAATAAGTTAAAGTTTTGTTCAGAATCATGTCCCGAATTTGTCCAAGCATGTCTCAAACGTGTCCGACTAAATTTTTTTTTATAAAAAAAGGGGACACCTCTTATAGAGTGTCGGACACATGTCCACCACGTGTCCGATGCGTGTCCATGTCTGACATGTGTTGGACACCCATACGCTGTCTTCAGAGAGGTGTCCGTGCTTCATAGTTGGTGAGGTATTTGGCATGTTGGGATAAGGCGAGGCATTTGGCTTCAATTTGGGCTTGTGTGGCTTCCCCTTTTAAAGGAATTTCCCCGTTTTTTATTTCTAGGGATTGGGTTGCTGTTTGTCATCCTTAATGGTGGAATGTTTTCTGTTTAGTTTTTCCGTTTTTATTGGTTGGATTAATGCTTTGATCCTTAGTCATTGTATGAGGACTTTGTGTCCTCCACTCATTTGTTACTTTTGTTATGAATAAAATTCTATTGTTGCTTGTTCAAAAAAAGAAAAAAAAAGAAAAAAAAAAGAAACACGTTGGTCTTAGCCAACCATTGACCCAACGTGTTGACCATCATTGTCGACCTAGTGGAATTGCACACCAATGGTGTTGATTATCACCATCAGATCCATCTCAACTCACCACTCGATTTGACTCTTGTGGGATGGGTGGAGCGTTTCACGGTTAGGGTTAGAGGAGTTGCATTTTTCTTGAAAGAGATTGTGGTGGTGGTTAGTAGCTGATGGTTGTGGTGGCTGATGATTGGGTAGGAGATAACTGGTGGTAGTCAGTGGCGATGGTGGTCACAAAAGTGGGTGGGAGACAGTGGGGGATGGTTGTAGGGAAGGGGAGGCAAGAGAGGGGGGTAATGATGAAGATGAGGTGGTAGTGGTGGTTAAGATAATGCCAGTGAAGTTGAGTGCATTGTTTGTGTTTTGTTGTAAAGTTCTTGTGTTGTTTGGTTTTACAAATAGAGAGTATTGTGGTTAGGTTATAATATTGTTTCGTTACAGATCAAATGGAGAAAATGTCTCAAATCATTGTAGGGCTAAATAAGTAAAGACGGCCCTTTTCTAATGGCGTTAGGGAGACAAGATTGACAGGGAGGTCAGGGTTATTTTAGAAACCTCGAGGAAGAAGTCTGGAATTAGCATCTCAGGGAGGTCAGTGTAATTACCCTTAAATTTATTGGGGATCTTAAAATGGTTAGAATACTTTCATTATCAATTAAACGATTGATGTTAACTAATATTTAGAGAAATTTTTGAGAACTACTACATATTATTGTTGAAACTATATGAACATGAAAAAATAGTTGAAAAACTATAAATTATGAGAAGCGTGTTTCTAGGAAGTTTTCTAGTTTCTGACAAGTTCCTGAAATGTTTTGGAAATATTTCCTAGGGAATGAATTTCACTAGAGTTTTGTCTCCATTCCTAAAATGAATTTCACTGGAGTTTTGTCTCCATTCCTAAAATGAGTCTCTTCTTTCAAAGAGAGTTTCATGTTAACAATGGTCAAAATTTGGAACTCATTTAAAAAGATACTCCAATGAGCTTTGCTTGTACTGTTTGGTATAAACAAAAGAGATACAGAGATGCAAGAAGGTTCGCTTCCAATTCCCCTTTGCCCCAAGGTCCTTAAAGGTCCGGGTGCAATGAACTAAGAGGTAACCGATCTCAAATAGGTGATGGTGTGTAAACCAGGTATCCACTCCATAGTAGCCATTAAGTTGTGCTCATGCGAAGACATCAATTGGTTATGGAAGAGAGAATTGATCAACATAATAACCAGTAAGATATAAAGGAAAAAGAAAGAGTAATTTGTCCTTTATTTACACCCTCGCATGGTTGTCAAATCGCGAATCAAATCGTGAATCGTATTTCTAAAAAACTGAATTGTGAATCTTATGATGAATGTACCTCGTTTGCGCAGAAGCTGTGTTGACTGCAACATACTTGATCAATTGCGTACCGTGTAAGTTCTTGCTGGAAGCATCCCGGATTACTCTCATTTAAAAGTCTCTGGCTGCTGTCCATATTTTTTTATAAAAAATATATATACATATAAAATCACAAATATAGTGCTTAAACTGAAAAAAATAACAATATGCTATAAATTTCATGCATCATTGTTTCATTGATTTAAGAGGAAGCTCCAAAAGTTTATAGATCAAAGTTCAAGCTTCAAAAACTAGCTTTTGACAAAATTCAAAATCCAAAATGACATCATAGGCATAGTGGCATACAACACAACAGACTTTTGGACTTCTAATTTCTAAATATCAGTCATGTCATCATCAAGAACATCCATCAATTCATCATCTTCACTTCCAACATCTACTTGCTCAATATTTTCTCTCTCATCATCATCATCAACTTCAACTAGTTGCAGCAATCGTGCATCCAGGCTGTGTTTCTTAGGAAGAAACGTGACTCTTTTGGGAGAGAAACACGTTTTTATCTAGATGGAAACGGTGGTGAACTCCAAAAGCAATAAAAAAGAAAAAGAAAAGTATATCTGAAGATCCATCTGAGAGAAGAAAAGAAAAAGAATCTGATATCAAATATGAAGGAGAATGAGAAGAATAAGAAGAAGAAGAAGAAGAAAGATGGCATACCTTTTGAAAACAGATGAAGCGAACGAGACCGAGGGAGAAGTTGAAAGAACCTTCAAATCGGACCAAAAACAGATGAAGCGAACGAGATCGAGGGAGAAGTTGAAGGAAACCTTCAAATCAGACCAGTCTTCGAAGAGAGAGAAGACGACAGAGCTGCTCACTTTATTTGCTGGATTTATCCTTCTTTCTTCCCTTTTTATTTTTATTTTTTTAGTAGTATATATTTTATTTTGACCTAGATGGTCATGGGCTTTCATTTAAAAAGTTCAATGGGCTTCATTGGGCCTATAGTTGGTCTTAGCTTGTAGATTAAAAAATATTGGATACTAAATACTAATTATATTACAATCAAAGCCCATTAAAAAACAGGCATATATATAAAAAATATAAAAATAAACAAAATAATATGACTTTAATATATTTGAATAAAGCCCAAAAAAATATGTTTTATACATGCCAATTAAAAATAAAAAAAAGTTTATATAGATAAATTAAAAATATTATTAATGAAATAATACATAAGCGCTCCCAACCTATGACTCTTCTAAGTGGCCATGCTCTCTCGCCCCGCCCCCATCCCGGCTTCTGTTTTGTGCAACTAAGCTTCAACCACTTGTTTCCCTTTATTTATATTGTTGAGATTTCTGGGCCCTACAAATAAGAGTAGAAGTATATTACCTCTCTTCCTCTTTTTGCTACTTGATCCCGCTTGAAATTGAAAACATTCATCAATATCTAGCCATGCGGTGTCCTCAGGTAGGGTTGGATCTTCTTTTTCAGTTATCCACTCATCATCTTATTCCATATCCGATAGAGAAATAGGATCATAGGCATGCCCTTGTTCTGCCCTTTTTTGGTGTCTTGCTTCTAATCGGAGATTATACTTTGTGAACACAAGTGCATAAAGTCTTTGTTGTTCCAATTGATTCCTCCACTTAGTATGCACCTATTAAATGAGGAGGGTTGAATTAGGATTTATTATTCATTTGAAAACTAAAATATTTATTGAAATTAATTTATATATTTTTTTATACCTGATCAAATGTACTCCAATTTCTTTTGCATCCTGTTACACTACAAGTAGCTAAGAACACGAATGGCAAGAGTTTGAAAGAGGCCCACCACAAGACTATCAAGTATTAACAAAAATTAATCACTACTTTAGTAAAACAAATGGGAATCCTAAATAAATGAAAGTTAATGTTATACCAAGTTGTTTCTTGCTTCGCATTTGAATGGCCATCTGCATCCCAAACATGTTTTCCACATTGTGAAACATATCTAGTTGCCTATCCACCTTTTCTTGCAATTCACGAGTGGGGCACATCCTTTCAATTGTCTTATAAAGTCCCTTCTTTATCTCATAATCTGCATTAAAATCAGGAGCATAATGAAACCTTGGATTAAGATAATACGCAATTGCAGACAACCATGCACCCTTGTAATATGTAAGAAAGATTTTAGTTGGGCTTTTCTTTTCCCAATTGTAAAATTGGATGTTTTGGATTCTATTGAGGTTTGGCCTTGCAATTTTCCTATCATGACATGTATGTAACATCCTCTGCATATCTCTGACACATGTATGCCATTATTCGTGCATTGTTTGTAATCTTTTGTCATGCTTTTGATCTGTACAACCAATTTGTATTTGTAATTTGTAGGATGGGACTTAACTACTTCATTGATTGGTTTTACTTGCTTGTACCTAAACTAAGTACCTTTTGGGTTTTGATTATAGTTAGAGGATTTTGAATAGAGCACATTCACCTTATTTGGCTTCTTCTAGCCTGATCTTGATGCTGCACTTTCTTCTTTTAGGATGGTTCATGCAATGGCCTACAGCACTATGCAGCCTTGGGAAGAGATGCTGTAAGTATTCTGTTCGGACTTATATTGTTTCATTCTTTGCTAGATGATATCTCCTTTTTTATTGCTTTGCTTAATAAATTTCGTTTTTGTTTCAAAGATAATATTGTCTTTGCATCGTTGACATTGTTTTCTTCTTTTATGCATTACTTGGGAAACATGTGCAAAAGTCATTTTTATGAGACTATTGAAATCTTATGTTTAGTAAGCCTATGTTTTTGGTGGAATTCTCTTTTTGAGATTCTATTTATTTGCAACCCCTGATGCACCAGCCATGGAAGCTTGCTTTTATGTTTTCTTCTCTTATCTGCCTAGGAGGCTTGCTTTTATGGTTCATGCAATGGCTGTACACATTTATTCTATTTCCATGGTGAATTGAGTATGGAATTCATAGATTTAAGCTTCAAGTCTTGTCTAGTATTTTATGTTCAATTTATTTTTTGTGGTCATATTTGGAGTTAATGCTGTAACCTCTGCTTTCAATTGTTTTTTTGGCACATTTTATTATTAATTAATTAATTTTGCGTGGAGTTTTGGCATTGCTAATTGATTTAGAGTACATTCACATCCTCTGCCTTCTCTATGGTGGCTCTGTTTGTACAGTTGGAAGCAGCTGCTGTCAACTTAGTTGCTGGAGAGAAACCTGCTGATGTTTATTCCGAAATTGCTGCAAGGTATACTGGTATCTATTGTGAACTTGGAATCCAATCATTGTTCTCTTTAAGCTATTATAAACCCTATGATAGCTTATAGTCTGTATTTCTGTGGCAATTCATAGTTGAAGAGGAAAGGGGAGGGGAAAGGAAGAGGGAGAAATCTCAATTCTCTTTTCCTTTTCATTCCCCTTTCTGTCTTTTCCAGATGATGGATGAAGAGAGTTTCTAGTATTTGATAGAAGGAAAGGAGAAGGGGTAGGAAAAAAAAGAGGGGGAGAGTTTTGTGGGTGATAGAGATTAGAGGTGATCGGTCTATGATTTCTGGGAAGATGGTAGGCACTTCAATGCCCTGAGATCACCGGAGATGGAAGAGAAGAAGACCAAGGCAAGCTTAGAGAGGAAAGGGGTGGCAATGAGGGACCTTGAACACTTAGTGTATATTATATGATTCTTGTTGCTCTTGTTGTGTTATTGTGGCTGCACATATGATGCCGTTATAGAGACTCCATGAGTATTGGAGTCCAAGCAACCTCAAGACAGGTGGCGAGTTCTCCTCGACTTGACAGGAGGGTGATATTAGCCCTACTAGTTGTGCCCTATGATTCAGGTCCTTGGGAAGGTTGCATCATAGGAGTTGCAGCTGTAGGTATGATATCTTGAGAGGTGTATCATATGTGCATTAGATGTAAGTGTAAGGTCAACGTCCCTGTCTCTAAGCCAGGTCAAAGGGAGAGTTGTCACTGCAGGAAGACAACTACACGACCTTGGACGATCCTGAGGTCTTAGCCTCCAATCCACAATCCTCCAGTGATCCCAAGGAGAGTGCTTGGGTTTTGCTCCCAACCTAAGTAGCCAAGAGGGTGAGTGCATGGATGAGTCTAGGGCTCATCCTGAGTAGTTAAGTAAACATAGGTGAGTCAAGAGTCCCACTATGTTGCTATGGAGCTGGGGTGAGCGGGTAGAGAATATATTTCTTGAGTTATGTAGGGTCATGGAGAGCTTTAGGTGAGCCAGCTCTATCTAAGTAGGCTGTGGCCTTGTTTTCATACTTGGTGGTGTGCATGCCCTTGCTTAGGCTTGGCATATGACCCTGACTCATTGTGGTGCCTCAGGAGTCTACCATGTGGATGTGTGGTGGTGATGACATACTCATCGTGGTGCCTCAGGAGTCTGCCACGTGTATGTGTAGTGGTGATTACATACTCATCGTGGTGCCTTAGGGGTCTGCCACGTGAATGTGTAGTGGTGCTGACGGGACGCCCGTAGGGCTCGCCATGTGCCAAGCATAATATAGATACCCACAAGTTTCTTTGGATCAACATATCCTTTTCACCCAACAGTGAACAGGTGGAAGGAAAGGAGGAACCTTACACTTCATCACTTCTGGCCTCTAAACAACATTTGGTGTTTCTAGTATTTGATAGCAGGAAAATAGATGGGGAAGGAAAAAGGGTGGGGGAGAGTTTCCATGGTACCACCTACCCTTTTCACCCAGTAGCGAACAGGAGGAAGGGAAGGTGGAACCTTATACTTAATCAACTTCTACATCACCTTCTTGCCTTGAAAAAGCACTTTTGTAAATATATTTGGGCAAAGTCATAAACTAGTAACCCCTTTCTTACCCTTCCCTCTCCATTCTCAACCAAATAAAAAAAGGAGAAGGGAAGGGAGGTTTGGGAGAGGAGGCTTTGATCTTTTGTCTCATGCATTACTTTGTTGTTAATATTTTAACGCTGCATTCATGACCCTTAAAAAGCAACAGTTTAATCTGGCAGGGTTCATGATATCATGGTAAGGGACAGCAATAAGGATCCTGCAACTAGTCCAAATGCTTTATTAGCCAAGCTCTTAATTGGACAGGTTGATTTCTTTTACTTCTCCCTCACTTCCCTGAAATGTTTGAGTTTTAGACCACATTACATATTTATAAGATGACGAATTCTAGATAATGACCTTTAACTTTGTTAGCTTTCAGGTGGATAGGAAACTAGTGAAACAGACAGTGATGACTTCAGTATATGGCGTTACTTATGTTGGTGCACGAGAGCAGATCAAAAGGAGATTAGAGGAGAAGGGTCAAATTACTGATGATGGCCTACTTTTTAATGCAGCTTGCTATGCTGCTAAAGTAAGCGTCCACTGACTAGAAAATAGGGTTAGATTGTTAGCATTAGAGAACATAATTTCCACTTCAATGTCCTTAATATTGTTGCTTATGTCATGAAAACAGAAAATATTTTGATTCTTCACGCTAAAGAAAATTCATTAGAAAGTCAATGAATGTAAAATAAATTGATGTATATTATTGATAGATATTTTTGATGGGTTTAAATTGGAAAATTATTGAGTTATGTTGTGCTTTTGGACAAAGCAATATTACTTGGAACAGGGATCATTTCGGTACGAGAAACAAGAACAGGGATGTGATACAACACATGCTCTAAAATGTGGTTTGATAGGGGTAGATTTATCATTTATATAGATCACACTTGAAATTTATTAAGGTACTACAAACTTGATACCAATTTATTGTAAACATTGAGACATCCAATGAAACGTAGTGTATATTATCCTACAAATTAATCACTTAAAAACACATTTCTAGGAGCAGTTTGGCCTTTTTTGACATTTTGTCCAGTTGAAATTCCACACCTGCTAGATTTTAATTCATTCTGTTTGATTTATTTTCTCCTATGGAAAATGTCAAGGAAAAATATATAGGAAAAATTGGAATCACTAAATTCATTGTTTTAGAATGAAAGCGTACCATGTTTCGAAATATGTATTGCAAGACATAAATTGCCAGGGGATTAGTGTTTGACATAGGCATGTGCCTAAACATTGGTTTTATCTTGTTTGAAGACCATGTGTGCCTCATCTATTGGTTTGTGGCTGTGGGGCATTTGCTTATTTTAGAGAAACATAGTCTGTTCTTTATGCATTTGTTTAATTCAAATGTTAAATTTTTAGGCACATGATGTTTAATACCAAGATTTAAAAATGAACTTTGCTGCTCTGATCAAATCGTAATATTTTCATTTCAATCATTCTTTTCAATACTTGTTCAAAAAAATAAAAAAAATAAAAAAAAATCATTCGTTTCAATACCACAATTTTAACTAGGTGACAATGTCTGCCCTTGGAGAAATATTCGAAGCTGCACGTGCCATAATGGGTTGGCTTGGTGATTGTGCAAAGGTATACTTTTGTTTCAAATTTTGGACTGTTAAATTTGATCAGAAGTCCTATTTTTGAATATGGAATCTTGATTATTGAAATTCTACAGATTATTGCTTTAGAAAATCAACCAGTGCGTTGGACAACTCCTCTAGGTCTTCCTGTTGTGCAACCCTACTTTAAAACTGAACGGCATGTTGTGAGTATTTGAGTTTAGTTGTATTTTGAAATCATACAATGTAATTCCTCATAAAATCTGTGAAATGATATTGATCACACCGTGGTGCTGCAGATAAGAACTTCTCTTCAGGTGTTGGCTTTGCAGCGTGAGGGTGACTCTGTAAGTACATATCATCTTTTTGTCAGAAATTCGCCCCTCTTTTCTGACACCTTTCGTTGCCATAACTTTCATTATCATGTGAACTCTAGGTTGAGGTTAGGAAACAGAGAACAACATTTCCTCCGAATTTTGTGCACTCACTTGATGGTTCACACATGATGATGACTGCTGTTGCATGCAGGGATGCTGGATTACGTTTTGCAGGTACCATTTTATTTAGAGCTTAAACCTATTCAGAAAGAGACTTTGAATTTTTTAAGGATCATCTTATCCTTCTGTGTTTGCCATCCAGCAAGTGGCAGGTTATGCGATCATAGATAGTGTTTTTAGTTCAGCAGATACGAAATCAGAAGCAGCTTTTAAATCAGATTGATATTTTCATAAATTTCTTCACCAAGAACTCTTAATCTTAGGAGTCGCTTGAAGATTGAATGTGTCTTGATTTGTTTCTAGCTATATAATTCTACCAGAAGAAATCCAAAGCTCCTTTTAAGCTTTAATGGAGATGCCTCACAATGGCATGTTCTATTCAAAGGTTTCATCTGCAAGCCCCAGGTTTTCAGATGGCCCTTAGTGAATTTATTATCTAATAAAGAGGGTCGATGATCTAACAAATTTCTGTGAATCCCGTAAATTTGCTAAGGATGCCGTAAAGCTGATTGAAGCTATAGAAGCAAAAAAAAGCCCAAGAATGGATGTAAATTCTGTTACAGCCAGTGAGTGGAACAAAGTGACAAGTGAAAGGTAGTTGAAGAATTTGTATTATACACTTGAATTCTCTAATTTGTAACAATGTTTAAAGAACAAGGAGCTCACTTTTGATAGTAAAGGAAAATTTCTAACTTCTCACATGGATAGGAGATAGAACTCCTTTTGCCCTAAATCCTATTTAATTTCAAGTACATTCTAAATAATAGCTAGCATCTTATATCCAGATATTATGCAATAAACAATGTTTTTAAATGTTTGGAACTTGCCCACCTGCCCCACGTCTAATATTTGGATACATATTTTAATATATCTAAAATTAAGAAAAGGTCCAAGGCTTGGACACATACCCCCACCCAATACGCATACACAAGTCCATGTAGCATAATTGAGGCCAACTTATTGGTTAAGTGATCTGTTTTCTCCAATCCTGTAGGGAAGCTCGTACTACTGGTACCATGCTCTAACATGAAAATGAAAAAAAAATGATCTCCCCACAGAACCAAGCACATCAAATAATTCTGGCCTTACATATCAGCTGGTGGGTTCGCCATTAATGATATTGTTTCACTCACATTGTTCCACCTGATTTTCTGTGGTTGTTTCTGTGTTTCTACACTTCGAATTTATTAAGTTGTAGATTACAAGTCGTCTAAATTGTTCAACATTTGTTTGGACTCTAGGATTATGCTTTTTGTGGGATCCACAATTACAGAAATGTCTACCCTTTTTTATTTTTCCGTCTTTATTTTCTTTTTGCACACACCTCCGAGTTGACCACTGGGAGAGGTTCCTAAATCTCTTGATAACTTTAGAAGTTGTTATGTGAATTAGGTGAATGGCGTTGTACTACAATTAAGTCATAATTAAATTTTAATCATACATTTGAAGTGAAATATTCTGATTTATTGGTTTCAGTCAACTTATTGCCTAAATCCACAGATCCACTTCTATCTTCTCAATCACAGTTAAAGTCTCTTAATGGATGTCAGAAATAAATTAATTTCATTTTATAAACCCCAAAGGGTTTGGCTTAGTGGGTAAAGAAAGCAACCAAAGGGCTTACCACCCAAGAGGTTGTAGATTCAAAACCCACAAGGCCAAACATCTCAAACCTTGGAGCCACTAGAGGTTTGCCCGGTCGTTAATTTCATGGTCTTGGGATTTAGGCGAGGTACGCATAAACTGGTCCGGACACCTGGTTATCAAAAAAACAAAAACAAAATCATTTTATTTCCTAATATTACACGATCATATTAAAAATTCAAATATATAATATCCATTTGTGTTGTCTTCAACTTGAATCAAGTCTAATATGCATTTATATGTCCCCACTAGTGTGCCGTATGTTTTGAAATTCATAATTATATTAAAATGCTTCTATTTAATGCATGTTCAAATGCAGGTCATACATTTATTTTCAGATAATTTTTTAATCAAACATTTTTGAAACTCTGACGTGCTTTTATAGGCTCTTCCTTGGGAAAGACTGGAGGGGAATTTGTAGAAAATGAGAAATTTATGTTTCCTATTTAAGTTCATGTTGTTGTCTGTTGCAGGGGTGCATGACTCTTTCTGGACGCATGCATGTGACGTTGATAGGATGAATCGGATCATCAGGGAAAAGTTTGTGGAGCTTTATAGAACATCAATACTTGAAGATGTAAGCATCTCTCTCTCTCTCTCTCCTGAGCACACTAATAAAAAAAACATGTAGTTTTGTTGTAATTCCTTATTCATATAAAGCCATTATTGCTTCATGGATCTGAACATCAACATACAAGTGCCATCAAAATTTTGAATTAATTTACTTATATATCAAAATTTTGAAAGCTTCCAGAGATCATATCCAGAGTTGACATTTCCTCCCCTCCCAGAAAGAGGCGACTTCAACTTGCAACAAGTTCTCTATTCTCCGTACTTCTTCAACTAACCCGTCCACATATATTTCTATCATTTGAGTCTTCAGAAAAGTATCAAAAACATGGTTGAAGTGGGAACCCCGGGAACATGGATGGAACTTAAGACCACATTTACAGTGAGAAGTGAAAGCCCGGGTTTGCTCCTATGAAGGCCTATTCCTGTGCTGTCAAGTAAGTCACAGAGCTGGAAGGGTTGCCTAGGTTGCAGGACAAACCCTGTTTGATCATCATTTATCCTTGCACCTAGGGAAATCAATCGGTACTCTGCGCAGTGGGATTTCAGAAGTTGAAAAGTCCTGTTTCGTGTGCTCTGCTGATGTCCGGGAAAGATAGAAAAATGCTAAATAGCATGGATTCTGATTCAACATTGCTGATTCTTCTTGGTGCTAAATTAGGTGTAACAATTTTGCATTCTTTCTATGTATTGTATAGTTTTGTATTTGGAATATGAAAATAGATGGGAAGAGGTGCTTTAGAGCAGGGAAGATGGAGCCAAATTATGTAACCTGTATACGACAATTGGAAAAAATAATTTTATGGGATATATTTACACATCATTGCTTATTCTCTGAACCATAAAGATTATAGTAGAAATCTAATGTATAAAAATGTGTGTTTACTATTGCATTTTAATCTTATACTCAGGCTAGTTTCCCTTTCTCTCCCTTTTCTCTTTCTTTCTCCTGATTCCCGGCTGCCACCACCACCAACACCGCCACCAATTCTGGCCATCAGAGAGTTATGGTCACCTTTTATGTCGTTCAATTGTAGAATCAATTTCAGAGGGGGAAGAGCGAGAGATTGTTGCAAATGTCATATGTAAGGTTTTAAAAGGTGGCTGCAATCGTTACGTAACGCAGTTACGTAACGGTTGTAGTGGTTACCGTCACCCGTTACGGCCGCTATAGCAGTGATAAAAATTTACATGTGTAAAGACCGTTTCGGTGTTACATAACGACATTAAAGGCTGTAACGGTTCATTATACACCATTACACCATTTTATCTTATTTTAAATAGTTTCCTTTCTTAAAAAAAATAATAATAAAAGAATACAAAAAAAGAACAAATATTCAAGTGATCTAAATTCAAAGAAAAAATCTTATATGAATTTTTTTTATTTATAATTTTTATTTCATTACATTAGCATGTAAAATAAAAAATATATTAACGGTGGTTGCATTTATTTTTATAATCATTTTATTTAATATTTTTATTTTGTTAATGTGTTGTCTAAAAAATGTCTTTAAAAAATAAATAAAATCCGTAGTTCAAAAATAATTTTTAATACTTAATTGTAAATAATTTTTTTTAGTTAGCTTTAAAGTGTTGTCTAAAAAAATGCCTCAAAAATAATTTTTGTTTAAGGCATAATTTTTATTTTTATAATCATTTAATAATTGTGAATGTTTTTTATTCAGTTAGTTCGTGTATTAGTCAAAAATAATTTGTAAATATTTAAAATCAATAATTCTTAAAGTCATTAACTATTGAAATAAAATATAAAAAATTGTTTTTATAGTGATTTGAAAATATGTACATTAGACCATACTTAAAAATTAACAAAAATTTATTAAAATCTATTTTAAACCTCAATAAATGAGATTTTGACAAAAAAAATATGCGTATCAGTAAGTTTTTTTCAAATTGTGCGAAAAATAAAAAAAAATCACAATTCTGGTTATCACAACTGTTACGCTACGGCCTTTCCATTCTGCAACCGCCACCACAACTGTTACGGCGACCGCAACCGCTTTTCAGAAGCTTAGTCACATGTCATCGCTTATCTATTTATATATATAGAGTAGTGAAATAAATATGATAAAAATTATAATCAAAGTAAATTAATCGATGCTATTGCAGTTGTCAAAAAAAAAAAATTGTTTTATTTGTTTTTTCAATTTTTTGATTTAATGCAATGTGAGAGATGAGTGTGACGGGAAAAATTAGTGACACATCTACAATTAGTAACGCATCCTTCGCTGATTTTTTTTTTTTTTTTTTGACCTTTACATTTTTTTGTGAACGAAGAGCCTTTACAAATACTTTACTGTATCAAAGTAACAAGAGAGTGATACATTACAAAATTTTGACATCAATAGAATAAAAAAATACAAATAAAACATAACAAGATCAAAGAATGACAACTGTATCAGAATACCAATACATAAAACATAACAAGAAAGAGTCACTATATATGTATAATAACAAAATTGCGTCTTTATAATTGAAAGATCTAAGAATCAGTATCCAAACAAAACATATGTTAAGATCAAAGAATAACTACATATGTATTGTATTATATTATATTCACAATACACGATATCACACAAGTACTAAACCATGGTAGCACAAAATGACCTACAAAAGGGACATCGACTAGTCTTTGGCAACCACTTAAACAAGCAATCTCTGTGAAACATATGCAAGCAAGGCGTTATCGCAACCATCATTCCTGCACATATCTCCCCCAAACAAATCGAACAATCATCAACTGGTTCTTCATCATCGTCTCCATCAAACTCCTTCACTCTCATCGCAGCCTCAATCTCGTGAAGCCCTTGACACTCATGGCACGACATTGGTTCCTCCAGGTCGGTCAATAACCCACCACGAATCTCTTCAACTTCTTCGACAGACAATTTGCTGCGCTTTAGACCCTTGGATTCATCATCATCATCATCATCATCTATAACTTTTCGCTTCTTGCGCCATGAAAAGGGTGATGGTGCAACCCTCTTTCGCGTATACCTCATAGTCACCGAAATATAAACATCTACCACTATGACGATTGTGGGATTTTGATAGTGTGTTTCGATATCGAACTTGAAACAACTTAGCAGATATGCAGATATGTCTTTTCTCAGATTTATAGCTGTGTTTTTGGAATGGAACTGTTTGTCTTCAATGACTTGAGAAACCAAATATTGTGTAGAGTCTAGGGTTGATAATGCTTCGAGTTCAAACAAAGATGCTGAGTAGATCTTTCTAACACCGCCATGTTCGATCCGAGTTGCTTTCTTGGATGCGTTGTTGATGCGAAACATGAACAACCCTTGTGATTCTTCTATGTTGTGAAGCTTTTGGTTCCACTTGAAGACATGAACATTGAGGTCTTTCACTTCTTCATTAAGACTCACCATCTCTCTCTTCTCTCTCTCAACACACAGTTCTTGCGGCAATAGAGGAGTGGGCAGGTAGGATTTGTAAAACTAGTATACAAATTTGAGATGAGATGGGTAGTTTTTTTTCCGTGTAATATACTTGTTAAGCAAGAAAGGGAAAGTACTTTCTTTCTTTCTTTCTTTCTACCTAGGAAAATGCATTTTTGATAAGTTACAGTTGCGTTAGGATTTGAGATAGATAAGGTATCTATTAGTTCTAATTTTGTTTTTAGTGAATTTTTAATAGTTTAAGCAAATTTTTTACTTTTTAATACACTTAATAATATTTTATTTACAAGCAAGATTTTTATTTTTATTTATTTATTTTTTGTGATTCAAAACTACTATCATTTTTTTTAAGAATAAATTACACTTATCTCCCCCGAAGTTTAGTATAATTGTAAAAATCTCCTTTATAATTTTAATAACATTGACCTCACTTCTCTCTCTCGCTCATTGTTAACATGTTTGTTGATTTCATAAGTTATAAAGCCAAAAAACTCTCTCTCTCACTCATTGTTAACATGTTTGTTGATTTCATAAGTTATAAAGCCAAAAAAGTCAAGATTGTTCTGTAGTTATCTACTCAAATAGTACATTTCACTTATCCCTTGAGATTTTGTATAAAAATTAATGAAAATCAATGTATACTTTAGTAATGTTGAACGAAATTCTAAAATTTCATATAATATTAAAAAAAAATTCTAAATTTTTAATATATTATTAAAATATTCAGGAGAAGAAAACTTAATTTAGGAAAAAGTAATATCTCTAAATTTAAACCACATATAAGATAGTAAACAAAAAATTATAAAAAAAAATATGATCATTATAACATTATTAATAATCTATTTTTTTTATCAGCACTAATCTCTATACAACTAATCGTAGAACACAAAATGTTTGATAAAAATTTGTAATAATGTTTGGATGACTATTATCTTATTATATTTTGTTTATTATGTGAAGGCATTATTGTATTAGTATAAATATAAGCAGAAAGATACATTAATAAAATAAACTCAGGTTTCAAGTTGTCATAAGGGGCACTTATGTCCTAGTCAGGCGAGATCTTAGGTTAGAGTTTTTTTTTTTTGAACGGTAAAGAAGAAACTTTATTGATGAATGGAAGGAGTACAAAATACCAAACAAACACCAATAAAGAGAGGGAAGTGTAAAAGTATCACAATGGGCTAAATAATCTCAACTAGATTGGCACCAAAGAACTCGTCCTATCATTTGCTAGCACCACCGAAGTTGGTGAGAAACCAACCAAGAACACCCCAACTATAAGCATACAACAGAAGCAAAGCCCACAAAACAGAAAAACAAAACAAAGACCAAGATAGCCATCTTAGCTACATTCAGCAACAAGCAAACAGATCAAACTAGTCCACCAGACTCACTTAGCTGCAAACACCAAACTCACTAGCTGCGAATAGAAAGAGACAGAGCTGCAAACAGAGTAAATTACAGAGCAAACAGAGTCCACCAGACTTATTTACAGCAGTTAGTAAAACAGATCCCAAATATAGCTCATATAATAGCATAGCAAAGCAGGTCCAGCACTCACAAGCTG